CATAGTTTTGACTTTTTCTCATAATTTGACTTTTCTCATAATTTGACTTTTCTTCATATTTTAACACTTCTCAATTTTCACTTTTTCTTAATATTTGGACTTTTTCTCATATTTTAACTTTTCTCATAATTTTGACTTTTCTCATAATTTGACTTTTCTTCATATTTTAACACTTCTCAATTTTCACTTTTTCTTAATATTTGGACTTTTTCTCATATTTTAACTTTTCTCATAATTTTGACTTTTCTCATAATTTTGACTTTTTCTCATAATTTTAACTTTTCTCATAATTTTAACTTTTCTCATAATTTTAACTTTTCTCATAATTTTAACTTTTCTCATAATTTTGATTTTTCTCATAATTTTAACTTTTCTCATAATTTTGATTTTTCTCATAATTTTAACTTTTCTCATAATTTTGACTTTTCTCATAATTTTGACTTTTCCTCATAAATGTGTTGCCTTAATTGAATGTTCAGTTTGATTCAGTTGTTAAAGCACTCTGAGTTGCATCCTGTGTAAGAAGAAGATATACTTTATGAACCCCTTACAGGGACACTTCTTTCCCCTCTGTTGTGTTTGCACACATTACACACACACAGAGGATATACATGCAGATAGCAGAGGTGGCAGAGCAGAGAGGCTGCCAGGTACGCGACGCAGGAGCAGTTTCGAGGTTAGGTGCCTTGCTCAAGGGCACCTCGGCAGTGGCCTTGGAGGTGAACCGGCTCACTCCATATTTTTTTTTTTTTTTGGTCGGATCGGGATGTGAACCGGCGACCCTTCGGTTCCAAGAGCAAGTCCCTAGAGACTGAGCCACTGCCGTGTGAAAAGTGCTTCACAAATAAACCTTTATTTTCATCCTCTTACCAAAGCTCTACATCCTCTTCTGTTGGAACAGCGCAAGCGTCGCCCCTCTCAGAGCTGCAATCCAATAATGACGGTCAGTGGACGTACGACTAGTTTAAAGATAGAAAACACCCACAACACTAACTTCCACCACTACACACACACACACACACACACACACACACCACTAACTTCCACCACTACACACACACACACACACACACACACACAACACTAACTTCCACCACTACACACACACACACACACCGACACCAGCCCCATCTAACGGACAACATATTTATGATATTGCCGTTTTATATGGATATGGTGTTTAAAAAAGTGTAAAAATATATTCTACTTGAATAATAAAAAGTGAACACCCCACACACCAACACCCAGGGAAAGATGCAAAATGAGTTTAGTACCAACAAATGATCTTTGCTTCCAAACTATCCAAACGTTATGCCCTTAGATAAAGGGCCTTTAGAGCCCTTTACATAAAGTGGTGTGTTAAGAGATTTCATTTTGCAGACACACTCCTAAACAGTGAAGACATCACCACCAGGAAGCTGAAGCGGTTTCTTCAGAGTCACTTCCTCAGATAAGATGTGCCCGTCTTAAATCTCACTTTTAGGCAGAAACTGCAGATAAAAGATGTCACGCTGAATTTAAAGGAATTTGGGCCATCAACCAAAACTATTGCGTTATAGAGATATTTTGAAACGGCTAAATGTAGGATGAGGATATTAGCCTAAGGTATTTGTGCCTTTTGTCCCACTTGGGGTGACGTATGTAGTGTTTTAGCAGTTTGAAACAGCGTCAGTCCGTCTGTTGGGAGTGAGCTGCAGCGTGTAGGACAGCGTCTCCTAATGACTACATGTGGTAGAGAAAGCCTCAGAAACACATCCCCACAGCTTCAACATGCAACACGCAACACAGGAAGAAGAGCTTTGAGTGTGAACAGGTTTGAAACATTTTACCCGTGCTTTCCCTTCAGAATTCCACTCCACCATAAACAGATGGCAACAGCGACGGCAACTAAGGCGATTACTTCATGAGAAACAAAAAGGAAGATGGTGAAGGTGAAGGATGATCGTCCACAATAAAAGAAGTCTCAATGAAATGCATGAAAGGGTTAGATGGTTATTTTTCTTAGGCTTCAATAGCTCTTTGAAAGCAAACCATTAAGGAGGTAATTGAAAACACACCTTCCTAATGAACTGGAGATCATGCACAAACCACAGCACGTCACTGATGCAGAACTGTGATACAACCCTGCTGTTCTTCTGAGGACATCATCATCTTATTTGAGTTTCAATTATCACTTTATATTCTAGATTTAATGTTTAAACTTACCCGCAAAAGCAATACCCAAAGCAACACCCGTGGACAAGCTTTCTCCACCGCCTGTAACAATAAAAGAAGTGTGTTAAGTTAAACTACAACTCTCATCAGAATCCAAATAGGGAGGGAGGGAGATAGAGAGGGAGGAAGGGAGGGAGATAGAGAGGGAGGGAGGTAGGTAGGTAGGGAGAGAGGTAGGTAGGGAGGGAAGGAGGGAGGTAGGTAGGGAGAGAGGTAGAGAGGTAGGTAGGGAGGGAGGGAGGGTAGGGGAGGGAGGGAGGTAGGTAGGTAGGTAGGTAGGTAGGTAGGTAGGTAGGTAGGGAGGGAGGTAGGTAGGGAGAGAGGTAGGGAGGAGGTAGGGAGGGGAGGGTAGGTAGGGAGGTAGGCTTAGGGAGGGATTTGGCTAGGGAGCGAGGAGGTAGACGTAGGAGAGAGGTCGGTAGGGGAGAGGAGAGTAGGTAGGGAGGAGGACGGAGAGGTAGGTGAGAGAGGTAGGTAGGGCAGGAGAGAGGTTAGGTAGGGGGTAGGTGAGGGACGGGAGGGGGTAGGTAGGAGGATGGTAGGTGAGGGAGAGTAGGTAGGAGAGAGGAGGTAGGTAGAGAGAGGAGGTAGGTAGGGAGGATGGACGGTAGGGGGAGGTAGGTAGGTAGGGAGGGAGGTGTAGGTAGGGAGGGTAGGGGCTGGGAGGTAGGTAGCGGTAGGAGGGAGGGAAGGTAGGGAGGTAGGTAGGGAGGGAGAGGGAGGTAGGTAGGTAGGTAGGTAGGTAGGGAGGGAGGTAGGTAGGTAGGGGTAGGGAGGGGTAGGGAGGAGGGAGGGGGGGAGGTAGGTAGGGAGGGAGGGAGGTAGGTAGGGAGGGAGGGAGGGAGGGTAGGTAGGTAGGTAGGTAGGGAGGGAGGTAGGTAGGGAGGTAGGTAGGTAGGGAGGTAGGTAGGTAGGTAGGGAGGGAGGGAGGGAGGGTAGGTAGGTAAGGAGGAGAGAGGTAGGTAGGTAGGTAGGTAGGTAGGTAGGTAGGTAGGGAGGGAGGTAGGTAGGTAAGGAGGGAGGGAGGGAGGTAAGGAGGGAGGTAATGTAAGCAGCTCAGCTTCCGTGCAGAGTTATTATTTTACCATAAAAAAATGTACATAAATGTTTTATATAAAAATAAGAAGTTGAATAAAAATGTAGAATAAAAATAAGTTAAAATAAAGTATATTTACACATGAAGTTAAAAACATATAACAAGTGTATTACAATATGTAATAACATATGAATGCACAGTGAAATGTATTGTAAATATTTTAAAACACGTATTTAATAGGAGATTATTCTGAGGACTTACCGGGGGGGCCAGGAGCTGAAGAAGAAGCAGAGAAATAACATTAAACATCAGAAATAAAACCTTCTGTTTCATAAACACAGATTCATTTAACGATGTTTGGAGCAACCGCTAATCTGAAGCACGACGAGATAACCCCCGATTATCAGCATGGAGTCACGGGGGTCCAATCTACTTAACCTGTTGAGCCCTGAGCCTGTTTTTCAGGTCTCAGGCTCGAAAATGACATTCCCAGAACAAATGACCATATCTTCCCTTCTAAAAGGGTTAAATGAATAATCTTTTTTCTCAAAGTAATGATAAACCTGTGAGTTGGATGTAGAAAAGTCAGAATCAATATAGATGTTTTTATTTTAAAGAAAATTCAGATTGAACATAGTAAAAAACTGTAAATTATAGTGTCCGTCGTAAACATTATTTTTTACTTATAGTTAAAACTACCCATGGATTATGGGTTAGTAGACTAAAAGCTTTAGGAATCCAAAGTACAACATATAATAAGTACCCTGTATCAAGATTGATGCAAAACAAGTGACATTTGACCTTTTTAGAGAGGTTTAGCAAAAAGAAACCACTTCTGGGGTCATTTGAGTGGATTTTCCATATCTCTGGCCCCCCTTGCTCGATTTTGATGGTTGACACCTCTTTCTGACCGTTAGAGCCAATAGAATCGAAGGGGGAGTTCCTAAAATCCATCTAAACATTACCCATTGGTGAATGAGTGCTGCGCAGCCAGAATGCCCCGGAACAGGAAGCTGTCATACACTCTGGTGGCAGCTAATATGAAATCTCCGTTTTTGACATAAAAATGGAGATGATGAATTATCAGGAATCATTTCAAAGTGACACAGACACATTGGATTAACCTTCAGCAGCGTTTTTATCATTTTAATGCCATTGAACACGACTTTTGATCAGAATAACAGCTAAGGTAAGACGATCTCCCGTGAATGCTCCGTAAAGCTACGTGTTGTTCTGATCGCTCAGTGATGATACTTTAATCTGATATCTTGTTTGTGCAGTTCCGATAAGTAATAAGGGTATTTCTACCTTGAGTTCTGTGCTAAGTGCGTTAGCATTTTTTCGCTCAGGGCTCATTTAGACGCTTCTTGTGAGACTTGTGTTTTGTTTCGGTAAAAATGGTACGTATTGTCAGCTAGCTGAGTTTCTTCCCGTTAAGTGGGTATGATAAAGGCATCATATATAAGGCAGAAAATCATGCAAAATGTAAGAATTATAACACAAGATTCATTTTAAATACACATGCGTTAACCGCAAGTTAAAATAATTAGTGGTGTTAATAACGCGTTAACTTTGACAGCCCTAATTATAAGACAACATTCATTTTAAAAGACAGCCCTCGTTGCGTGCAATATTAGCAGAAAATCAACGTTAAAATCTCATCTCAATAAACTCAACTTGATAAACAGATCAAACATCCCAGAATAATCTTTGATCCCCCTAACGAGACAGATATTGAAATGGCCTCTACCTGTGGGCTTCTTGGTGGATTCAGGACTTTTAGTGGTGGTGGTTTGAACTGCTGTTACTGCTGCAAAATAATACATTATAATAATTAGTGCAAATATCACAAATAATCAGGGTTGCCCTCGACTCAACATTTCTCCAGTTGTCTAATTGTTGTCAATTCGGGCGATTAGTCGACTAATCGTCTCACGTTTATGAAATATTATGATTATTAATATGATTTTTTTGTCCTCCAAAAATGGTTTCAGTTTCAAAGGCTGATAAAGAACGTTATTCACTGTTTTAATTAATTTAATGTTTTTAATTTAATGTTTTAAATTAAGTACAATGTCTTTAATTTAATACGATTCTTTAACTGTTAAGCCCCAAAGTCCCCATCGGCGGGTCTTTTTTTTTTTTCACAAATTAAAAAATACCTATGGTGATAATTCAATGTAATACATCATTTTTATAGTCTGGTACCTGAAAAAGGTCAAATGGCACTGATGGAACCAGATATACCCAAATGTGCCGAAAGCTTATTCCGCCTGGAACTTTTTTTTGCTAAACCTCTCTAAAAAGGTCAAATTTAACTTGTTTTGCCTCAATCTTGATACAGGGTACTTATTATATGTTATAGTTTGGATTCCTAAAGCTGTTAGTCTACTAACCCATCATTCAAGGGTGGTTTTCACTATAAGTAATGTTTTTTCTTTAGGCGGAGGTAAGAATTTACCTTTTTTTACTATGTTCCATCTGTATTTACTCTGAAAAATCTATATTGATTCTGACACTTCTACATCCAACTCACAGATGTAACCTTGCTTTGATAAAAGAAATTATTCATATAACCCTTTTAGAAGTGAAGTTGTAGTCATTTGTTTTGGGCATGTCATTTTCGAGCCTGAAACCTGAAAAACAGGCTCGGGGCTTAACAGGTTAAAGGTAGGGTAGGTAAGTTTGGAGAAACCGGCTCGAGATCGCTAGAATTAGAAAATACACAACCGGAGAAAATCTGCCACTTCCTTCCAGAGCCCCTCCTCCAACACACACGAACGCGCACATGACCAATGAGGGCACGAGATCAGTTTGTGCACAGATGGAAGGCTGACAGGCAGGTAGGCCATCCAGTTATTTTAGCCGGGCCGGCTCAGATGATTGGTCGTGCTTTTTACAGTACTACAGCTTCCACAGATGATATTTATTAATGGATTTGTTGTCAAAGCACTTCAGATATTAATTGCTATCGGGATGTTAAGAGCATTCCATGGAATATAACAACAAGTGTATCTCGAGCTGGTTTCTCAAACTTACCTACCCCACCTTTAATATAGTATAATGTTATTCATTTAATTTAACATAATTGAATGTATTTCATTTAATACATGTTATTTTAATTGATTAAATTCTTAACAATGAAGGCACAGAACTGCACTTAATCACATGCATGACAGACAAGCAGAAAATCATGCAAAATGTAAGAATTATAACAAGGGCTGTCAGTCGATTAAAATAGTTAATCTCGATTAATCACGCATTTTTTATCTGTTCTAAATGTAGCTTAGAGGAATATTTTTCAAAGTTTTTAATACTCGTATCAACATATTAGTGGACAAATATGCTTTATGCAAATGTTTGTTTATTATCATTGGAACAATTTCAAATATTCTCCTGAACATTTTCAACACAACAACCTGGAACCTCTCTCTCTCTCTCTCTCAACCCTGTGCACTTCTCTGCACTGAGCCAGTTGCTCAAACAGACAAGCCTGTTTACAGTTGTTGGCGAAATGCCGCACCTCTGTCTTCATAACAGTCGAAGCATGAGACTGAAGTTCCCACTGTGGGTCAAAAGAATGCGCTGTGATGTGCAGTCGACACGTTGGATGCGAGCCGAATTATCTCACGCAGTCCCTCGTCCTCCACAATGCTAAGCTGTAGCCACCCATTTAGCTATCGCTGTTGAAAGCTTGCTGCTCGGAGACGTGTCCAGGCGTCTCCCCGGCAAACTTTCAAGCGTAGTCTGGCGAGCGGCAGGAGCGGGGCTGTCAGCATCAGCTTGGCTTGCCGTTTAAAACACCTTTTCTTGTATCCATATCTCTCGCTAGAATCTCCCACCATCCAACTAACAACAACAACAACAACAACGTCGTCGTCAAGCCTTTGCGCTCTGAAACTACGGGGCAGGGCGAGGGCAAATACACATGCGTTAATCGCAAGTTAAAATAACTAGGGGCGTTAAGAGAAATGTGCGTTAACTTTGACAGCCCTAATTATAAGACAACATTCATTTTAAAAGACAGCCCTCGTTGCGTGCAATATTAGCAGAAAATCAACGTTAAAATCTCATCTCAATAAACTCAACTTGATAAACAGATCAAACATCCCAGAATAATCTTTGATCCCCCTAACGAGACAGATATTGAAATGGCCTCTACCTGTGGGCTTCTTGGTGGATTCAGGACTTTTAGTGGTGGTGGTTTGAACTGCTGGTACCGCTGCAAAAATAATACATTATAATAATTAGTGCAAATATCACAAATAATCAGGGTTGCCCTCGACTCAACATTTCTCCAGTCGTCTAATTGTCGTCAATTCGGGCGATTAATCGACTAATCGTCTCACGTTTATGAAATATTATGATTATTAATATGTTTTTTTTGTCCTCCCAAAATGGTTTCAGTTTCAAAGGCTGATAAAGAACGTTATTATAACAGCATGGTACGTTGTGCTTCATATACAATACAAAATAAAACTAATAATGAACCTTTGAAATATAAATTAAATACCAACACTTTCTCTAAATAATTTCTCTAAGCAAAACTACTCTCTAACCTGTTAAGCCCCATTCCCATGTTGCGATTGGGAAAAATCGCAACATCTACAAGAAACAGCGTCTGAGGGCTTCTTAACATTTAAAAATCTATTAATGTGTCATACCCACTTAACGTGAAGAAACTCGGCTATCAGACAATATTAACAATTTTTAGCAAAACAAAACTTAAGGGTAATAACAAAGGCTCTGAATTAGCCCGTGGCGAAAAAATGCTAACACCCTTAGCACAGAACTCACGTTAAAATACCCTTATTACTTATCGTATCTGCACAAACAAGATATTGATTAGCAAGCTGAGATTGCACAGATTCGACAGGTATTGGTATCATTACTGACCGATCCGAACTCGCGACATGAGAAGCCATCAAAGACATCACACCACGTAGCATTAGGTAGCCAACACAGCAATATCTCTTACCTTTGTTGTTTTCTGATCAAAAGTTGTCTTCAATGACATTAAAACGATATAAAAACGCTGCTGAAGGTTAATCCATAGGTTATTCCAATGTGTCTGTGTCACTTTGAAATGATTTCTGATAATCCATCAGCAATAAACCTAGTTTTCAGAGCGGAAGATAGGTTTTGCTTTGGGCAAACTGCGTGCGCATAGCTCTCATTTCTCAATGGTAACGTGTGTGTGTGTATGTGGAAACTTCCCTTCGATTCTATTGGCTCTAACGGTTCAAAAGAGATGTCAATCATCAAAATCGACCAATGGGTTCCAGAGAAACGGCAAATACACCCATTTCCACCCAAATGACCCCAGAGGTGTTTTTTTGTTGCTAAACCTCTCTAAAAAAAGCTCAAACTTCACTTGTTTTGCATCAATCTTGATACAGGGTACTTATATGTTATAGTTTGGATTCCTAAAGCTTTTAGTCTACTATCCCATCATTCAAGGGTGGTTTTCACTATAAGTAATGGTTTATTTTTGGACGGACACTATCATTTACATTGGTTTTCATTTATTTTACTATGTTCAATCTGAATTTAGTTTAAAGGGGACCTATCATGCAAAATGCACTTTTGTACGTCTTTTCTACATGAATATGTGTCCCCGGTGTTCCAGGGAACTCACCAAGTGTCAGAAAACACAACCCTCTCTATTTTCCTCCATACCCAAATCTCTAAAAAAGGGGCTGCAACGGATCTGATAAAAACTGATCCAGATTTGAACACTGTCCTGACGTCAGGACGGTGGCGCTACGGCTATTGGGCCAACTCCACCAATCAGGAGGAGACAGCCACGGCCATTGCCGCTGGAGACGCTGTAGTACATATGCCAGGCCTGTAGGTGGTGCTGTTCTCACTGAATCTGCCCTTGCAGAGCAGAGCTAAAAAAAAGTGCAAATTGAGCGAAATGAGGCATGGCTAAAATGCATGATCTGTTTGGCATTTTGAAAACAGAAACGTATAAATATACCTTATATAGGTATGGCCCTACAATATATCATTTAAATATACCATGATAGGTCCACTTTAAAATAAAAAAAATCTATATTGAGTCTGACTTTTCTACATCGAACTCACAGGTTTATCATTGCTTTGAGAAAGAAGATTATTAATCTTCCCCTTTTAGAAGTGAAGGTATGGTCATTTGTTCTGAGAATGTCATTTTCGAGCCTGAGACCTGAAAAACAGGCTTGGGGCTTAACAGGTTAGTGGGGCATCTTCCTGATTTTGAGGATGTATTGAACCACAGAGGAAATAAAGAAAATCCCCAAAGCTCCATGTATCTGAACAGGAAACCACAGAGCGTGCATCTGGACTAAAGATGGACTCATGTTCAGACTAAGGCTGCACGACATGGAGGAAAATAACTGCTTGGGATTATTTTGACTTATATTGCAATATAATATATATGTATAGAAGGATCTGATCCAAACAAGGATTTGTCATCAAGTCTGTCTGCAGCTCTCAGAGTCCATTAGTGAATGAAGGGGACAATCGTACAAACATGTCTTGGCCGATTTGGAAAATGTTGGTGTTTATTGAGGATCCATCGGCCCCCTCGGCCAGATCATCCACCATCATGGACTCAACTTCCACTGCTACGCTGATGATACCCCAATTATATCTCAGCACTACTCCAACCTCTCTGAAGAACCAGCACCTTACTGGTTGGAGAGGTTTGTGTGCCCTGATGGACCTGGGGGCTGTGTTGTCTAGAACCTTGTGTTCCTGGTAGGGTCTTCCATGGCATATTGGTCTCAGGCAAGGGGTCAGACTAAAATTGATTAAAAGACCTAATGAAAGACGACACACGAAGTGAGGATACCCGGCCCGGAAGAAGCCCGGAGTCCCCTTCTGGAGCCAGGCCCAACACCTCCGCTTCTCCGTTCCGCGGGGCCCACCACCTACGGGAAACAGCGATGGGGTCGGGTGCGCTGCCAGAAGGGTGGCAGTGAAAGCAGAGGGTCTTTGAGGCTTTGGGGACGTGGAACGTCACCTCTCTGGGAGGGAAGGAGCCGGAGCTGGTGCGGGAGGTGGAGCGTAACCAGTTGGATCTGGTTAGGCTCACCTCTACGCACAGCGTCGGCTCTGGAACCTTACTTATGGATAGGGGTTGGACTCTATTCTTCTCCGGAGTTGCCCAAGGTGTGAGGCGCCGGGTGGGTGTGGGGATACTCACAAGCCCCCGGTTGGGTGCTGCTTTGTTGGAGTTTACCCCAGTGGACGAGAAGGTTGCCTCCCTACGCCTGCGGGTTATGGGGGGGGGGGAACTCTGACTGTAGTTCAGAGTATTCAGCCTTCTTGGAGACCCTGGAAAGACTCATGTATGAGGCTCCTGATGTTGACTCTTTAATCTTGCTGGGAGACTTCAACGCACATGTGGGCAATGATAGAGACACTTGGAGGGGCGTGATTGGGAGGAACGGCACCCCTGATCTGAACCGGAGTGGTGGTTTGTTACTGGACTTCTGTGCTAGTCATGGATTGGCCATAACAAACACCCATGTTCGAACATAAGGATGCTCATAAGTGTACATTGTACCAGAGCACCCTAGGCAGAAGGTCCATAATCAATTTTGTGATCGTATCATCGGACCTGAGGCTGTACGTTTTGGACACTCGGGTAAAGAGAGGGGCGGAGTTGTCAACTGATCACCATCTGGTGGGTGAGTTGGGTCGAGTGGCGGGGGGAAGCCTCTGGACAGACCTGGTAAGCTCAAACGTGTAGTGAGGGTGAACTGGAAACGTCTGGAGGAGGAGGCCCAAGTTCAGGAGGCCTTCAACTCACACCTCCGGTGGAGCTTCTCGGGCATCCCTGTGGAAGCTGGGGACATTTAACCAGAGTGGGCGGTGTTCAAAGCCTCTATTGCCGAAGCCGCGGCGGGGAGCTGTGATCTCAAGGTCTTAGGTGCCTCAAGGGGCGGTAGTCAAGGAAGCCGTCCGACTGAAGAAGGAGGCTTTCAGGGATATGTTATCCCTAAATCCTCTGGAGAAATCCCGTAGCTTTTTGTGGAGGGAACCAGCAGCTTACTTCAGGGTAAATGCGTCCTCCCTGCACCGCTCTATAGTGCAGCCCTAATTGAAACTCCCCAGGTTTATCTAAATAGGATTTTCTTTGAGACTTACCTTTACATTTTGGAGTTCAGGCCCCCACAGGCTGTTGCTCCCACAGATTATGGTGGCAGAATTTGTCATCTTGTACCCCTCGTTGCACTTGAACGTGACGGTAGCCTTGTAAGTGTAGGGGCCCTGCGACCCGAATCCCGATGACCGAACTCAACAACTGGCCTCCTTACATTCAACCGCTGCAAGAACAACAGAATACACAGGAAGGAAATTCAGAAAAATGTCCAAAAACAACTGATTTAGAGTAAATGAGAGTCAGAGCTGGGATGCAATGGGAACATGTTGAATGAATAAAAGAAGGAGAAACATTATAATATAATATCAGGGTTTTTTCTAGAAAGATATAGTATGAGGGTACTGACATCATAATTAAGTCCCGCCCACTTTCCAGTGAAAAATACAGCATTAGAGTGAAGTGAATAAAAGTGTCTTCACGTCTTAAAGCTGCCGAGTAGGGATGGGTATCGAGAACCGGTACTAAGTCAGTACCGGTAGCCGATTGGACGGTTATCGGTATACCGTTAAGCCGCTGGACAAACGGTGCTGCTATCGGTATATGAATTACGCTACTTCCTTAGTTGAAACAATTCTGGTTGGTTGGGAACCCTCTTCCCCGTGTGACATATCCGGTTTGAGTACCCCTCTGATTGGCCACTGTGAATGCCACTCGTCATCTCTCCTAACAGCGCTCTTATTGTTGTGAGACTCCCGGGGGCAGACGCAACATCTTGCAAGAAACAGCGTCTCAAGGCTTCTTAACCTGTTAAGCACCAAGCCTGTTTTTCATGTTTCAGGCTCGAAAATGACATGCCCAAAACAAATGACTACAACTTAACTTCTAAAAGGGTTATATGAATAATTTATTTTATCAAAGCAAGGTTACATCTGTGAGTTGGATGCAGAAGTGTCAGAATCAATATAGATGTTTTTTATTTTAAAGAAAATTCAGATTTTACATAGTAAAAAACTGTAGATTATAGTGTCCGTCCAAAAATTCTTTTTTACTTATAGTGAAAACTACCCTTGGATGATGGGTTAGTAGACTAAAAGCTTTAGGAATCCAAAGTACAACATATAATAAGTACCCTGTATCAAGATTGATGCAAAACAAGTGACATTTGACCTTTTTAGAGAGATTTAGCCAAACCACTCTGAGGTGATTTGGCCCCCTTGCTCGATTTTGATGGTTGACACCTCTTTCTGACCGTTAGAGCCAATAGAATTGAAGGGGGAGTCCCCCACACACACACGTTGTGAAGAGAAAAGGTGGGGGCTTGCGCGCATGTAATTTTGCGTCAGAGTGGACCTATCTCTAGCTCTGACATATGGAACAAAAAAGCAGTTTTTTTTTCTTATGGATTATCAGAAATCATTCAAAGAGGACACAGACACATTAGATTAATTTATGGATTAACTGCAGCATGTTTTTTTTTTATCGTTTTAATGCCATTGAAGACCAGTTTTGACCAAGGTAAGCCATGTTAGCGTTTCTAGCTACCTAGCTCCACATGTTATGATGTACGCTTTCGTTTATAGCGTCACAAATGTTATCACTGAGTGTTGAGGTGGGCACCGGTAGATTCAGTGTCTCCAGGAGATACTAATCGATGGGTTGGCTGTGCATCTAGGATAAGTAATAAGGGAGTTAGGAGTGAGTTAGGTGCAGAGATAGGTTACATGTTTTCGCTCGTGGGTAATTCAGAGGCTGAGGGTTAGCATTATGTTTTTTTTTTTTTTTTTTTTTTTTAAAAAAGATCAGTTAGCTGAGTTTCTTCCCGTTACATGGATATAAAACATTCATAGTTTATTAAATATTAAGATTCCTTAGACGTTGTTTCCTGCAAATGACGCGTTTATCCGCCCGGTACCGGGGGGGGCGGTGCGTAACAGGTTAACATTTAACAACCTATTCATATGTCATACCCACTTACCTGCGAACCTTCGGGGACCGAGCCTTCAGTGTGGCAGCCCACCCCCCCCTCTGGAACGCTCTCCCTGCGGAGATCTGCAACATCCCCACGCTTGAGGCCTTCAAACGGGCCCTCAAGTCCCACCTGTTTGCCAAGGCCTTCGGCCCCGAATTGATTTGTTGTTTTGTCTGTCTGACTGTTTGTCTGACTGCCTTTTGTTTTTACTCCTGTTTTTCTTTATAAAGTGACCTTGGGTCCCATGAAAGACGCTAAATAAATCAAGCTATTATTATTTCTGCCATTTCCAGGATAGAAAAATGAAGTTTTAACCAGAAAGTGTCCATATCTGTACTCTCTGTGGGCTCATTTTGATTAATTTTGGGTCAATTCGCAAGATTTAGTGGACTCTGGATCCCTTTGATTGGACAGATTGCTTATTTATTTGAAAACAAATGGTCCAGAGTAGAGGTAATAATGTTCATCCTGTGCTCTCTATATCCTATAGTCGTAACAGAGTCAAAATTAGTCCACAGAGAGTACAGATGTGTCCACAGAGAGTACAGAGAGTACAGATGTGTCCACTTTCTGGTTAAAACGGACATGTTTGATCCTGAAATGGACTCGGCATCTTCACTAACCCCCCAAAACCCTCCAGAACTGTCCAAATCTGCCCAGCCATTTCTGAACTATTGTCTGCATGATGCTAATTAATGCAATTTAGGCTAATTGTGCAAATTGCCCAACATCTGCAAGTTAGCATCTGGCAGTTTCTATGAGCTGCAAACCAGTACTCAACACTTCTAGGTTCAATAAACTGGCATCTAGACTCTAATCTCTGCAGATCCACAACACTCCCAGGAAACTCCCCAGGTTTAATATCTCTGAGGATTTTCTTTGAGACTTACGTTCACATTTTGGGAGTTCAGGCTCCCACCGGCTGTTGATCCCACAGATTATGGTGGCAGAAGTTATCATCCTGTACCCCTCGTTGCACTTGAACGTGACGGTAGCCTTGTGAGTGTAGGGGCCCCGCGACCCGGAATCCCAATGACCGAACTCAACAACTGGCTCCTTACATTCAACCTCTGCAAGAACAACAGAATACACAGGAAGGAAATTCAGAAAAATTTCCAAAAACAACTGATTTAGAGTAAATGAGAGTCAGAGCTGAGATGCAATGGGAACATGTTGAATGAATAAAAGAAGGAGAAACATTATAATATAATATCAGGGTTTTTTTCTAGAAAGATATAGTATGAGGGTACTGGACATCATAATTAAGTCCCGCCCACTTTTCCAGTGAAATACAGCATTAGAGTGAAGGTAATAAAAGTGTCTTCACGTCTTAAAGCTGCCGAGTAGGGATGGGTATCGAGAACCGGTACTAAGTCAGTACCGGTAGCCGATTGGACGGTATCGGTATACCGTTAAGCCGCTGGACAAACGGTGCTGCTATCGGTATATGAATTACGCTACTTCCTTAGTTGAAACAATTCTGGTTGGTTGGGAACCCTCTTCCCGTGTGACATATCCGGTTTGAGTACCCTCTGATTGGCCACTGTGAATGCCACTCGTCATCTCTCCTAACAGCGCTCTTATTGTTGTGAGACTCCCGGGGGCAGACGCAACATCTTGCAAAGAAACAGCGTCTCAAGGCTTCTAACATTTAACAACCTATTCATATGTCATACCCACTTAACGGGAAGAAACTCAGCTAACAGACGACTATTAACCACTTTTGAAAAGTATCGAAAAATACCAGTATTGGTATCGATAAAAAAACAATACCGATATCCCCTACTGCTGAGTCATATTTTGCTCTGACGCTCTGTTTGATGCTCATATTTCTGGAGTCTTTACATTATTCAGTTTCTGACGAGCAGGAATATTGTTTTCTGGAATCACTTTTACATTTTACGGGGAAAACCCTGCGTTTTGGTTTGAGGGCGCACGCCGAGAGTAAGAGGGTGCAGACATCCAATAAAAGGATCAAATAAAGATATTAATATAGACATAAGATGTTTAACCTGTTGAGCCCTGAGCCCGTTTTTCAGGTCTCAGGCTCGAAAATGACATTCCCAGAACAAATGACCATATCTTCACTTCTAAAAGGGGTAAATTAATAATCTTTTTTCTCAAAGTAATGATAAACCTGTGAGTTGGATGTAGAAAAGTCAGAATCAATATAGATGTTTTTTATTTTAAAGAAAATTCAGATTGAACATAGTAAAAAAATGTAGATTATAGTGTCCATAAACCATTACTTATAGTGAAAACTACCCTTGGATGATGGGATAGTAGACTCAAAGCTTTAGGAATCCAAAGTACAACATATCATAAGTACCCTGTATCAAGATTGATGCAAAACAAGTGACATTTGACCTTTTTAGAGAGATTTAGAAGAAAAAAACACTTCTGGGGTCATTTGGGTCGATTTTGATGGTTGACACCTCTTTTTAACCGTTAGAGCCAATAGAATCGAAGGGGGGAGTTCCTAAAATCCATCTAAACATGACCCATTGGTGAATTAGTGATGCGCAGCCAGAATGCCCAAAACCGGAAGCTGTCATACACTCTCATAGCAGCTATAAATGAAAACTCAGTTTTTGCCATAAATATGGAATGATGGATTATCAGAAATCATTTCAAAGTGACACAGACACATTGGATTAACCTTCAGCAGCGTGTTTATCGTTTTAATGCCATTGAACACGACTTTTGATCAGAACAACAGCAAAGGTAAGACTATTTCCCGTGTTAGCTCCGTTAAGCTACGTGTTGTGATGTCTGTGTTTGCTTCCCCTGTCGCTCAGTGATGATACTAATACCTATAGAATCTGTGGAATCTGATATCTTGTTTGTGGCAGATCCGATAAGTAATAAAGTATTTCTACCGTGAGTTTTATGCTAAGTGCGTTGGCATTTTTTCGCTCAGGGCTCATTTAGACGCTTCTTGTGAGAATTGTGTTTTGTTTCGGTAAAAATTGTTTCATATCGTCAGTTTCTTCCCGTTAAGTGGGTATGACATATTAATAGGTTTTTAAATGTTAAGAAGCCTTGAGACACAGTTTCGTGAAAGAAAATCGGCAGCAAAATGTCAAAAAAATATAAAGATTAAAAAAATGGTATATGTATATATAATAATAATAATAATAATGGTATATATGGAACAAAGGAAGTCAAATTAAGAGAGATACAATTAAATAAAATGGGATGAAATGTTTTTTTATAAACATAAGAAAATAAAATAAAACGTCTAATAAAATAACAAATTAAAAGGGTCTGGGTGTATTGAAGATTCTAAAAGGACTTACCGACACAATTCGGGGCGGCCGGCTGAAAGACCCCGGTCTCTGAGCAGGACAGAGAATTCGATCCGTTCAGGGTGAAAGGTTCAGGACAGGAGAACTTGATCACCTCTCTGTATTCATACGCGTCTTTGACCGGATAGAAGCTGCCGATGGTCGGAAGTCTTCGGAGGATCACAGTTCATCACTGAAACATTCAATACATGGGAAGAGACGGAGAGTTTCTATGTTACAAACTCAGTAATCACATAGCAGATGCAAGGCAAATACGCTTAGAACATTAGTATATTATCCAGGGGAACCAACTCAGATATCATTTTGCGCCAGCCTCTGAGAGATGGGACCTGATGTTAGTAGTCATTTACAGAGATGGTAAAAGTATCCTTAACTCAAGTAGAAGTACAGATACTCGTGTTTAAAAACACTCTGGTGAAAGTAGAAGTACTGACTAAACTTCTTCACTCAAGTAAAAGTAAAGAGGGCTTTGAAATGTACTTAAGTAAAAAGTACCCATAACTAGCAGCTGTTTTAAAGAGTACCTGACCTCCCTTTATATTAATAGAACAATAATGTCATTGTTAGCTAATGAATGTTTCCATGCTGAACAACGGCAACATGACAACGTTTTCATTGGTCCCTCTTCTTTAGAGAAGACCAGGAAATGATGGATACACGGATCGTGTTCAAATCAATAGGCACGCAATGACTCTAAATAATAATGATCACGCCACCCAAACACACATTCAAACTAAAGGAACCAGCCTACAGGGTATTTGTGTTCAACATGTAAGAAGTAGAAAGTACAGGTATTTGTGTTCAACATGTGAGAAAGTAGAAAGTACAGGTATTTGAGTTCAACATGTAAGAAGTAGAAAGTATACAGGTATTTGTGTTCAACATGTAAGAAGTAGAAAGTACAGGTATTTGTGTTCAAACATGTAAGAAGTAGAAAGTACAGGTATTTGTGTTCAACATGTGAGAAGTAGAAAGTATACAGGTATTTGTGTTCAACATGTAAGAAGTAGAAAGTACAGGTATTGTGTTCACCATGTAAGAAGTAGAAAGTACAGGTATTTGAGTTCAACATGTAAGAAGTAGAAAGTATACAGGTATTTGAGTTCAACATGTAAGAAGTAGAAAGTACAGGTATTTGTGTTCAAATGTAAGAAGTAGAAAGTACAGGTATTTGGGTTCAACATGTGAGAAGTAGAAAGTACAGGTATTGTGTTCAAACATGTAAGAAGTAGAAAGTACAGGTATTTGTGTTCAACATGTAAGAAGTAGAAAGTACAGGTATTTGAGTTCAACATGTAAGAAGTAGAAAGTACAGGTATTGTGTATTCAACATGTAAGAAGTAGAAAGTACAGGTATTTGTGTTCAAAATGTAAGAAGTAGAAAGTTCAGGTATTTGTGTTCAACATGTGAGAAGTAGAAAGTACAGGTATTTGTGTTCAACATGTAAGAAGTAGAAAGTACAGGTATTTGTGTTCAAAATGTAAGAAGTAGAAAGTACAGGATTTGTGTTCAACATGTGAGAAGTAGAAAAGTACAGGTATTTGTGTTCAACATGTAAGAAGTAGAAAGTACAGGTATTTGTGTTCAACATGTAAGAAGTAGAAAGTACAGGTATTGAGTTCAACATGTAAGAAGTAGAAAGTACAAGGTATTGAGTTCAACATGTAAGAAGTAGAAAGTACAGGTATTTGTGTTTCAACATGTAAGAAGTAGAAAGTACAGGTATTTGTGTTCAACATGTAAGAAGTCAAAGTAAAAAGTCGTCAGAAAAATAAGTAGTGGAGTAAAGTACTGATACCAGAACATGTACTTACAGTAAGTACAGTAACAAAGCATTAGTACTTCCCCCTCTGGTAGTTTATTATACATGTATGAACACACAGACTCACCTTCACACACAGGCAGCCGGTCCTCCCAGCCCTGGCTGCCACACAGGATGGTCGGATATTTCCAACCAAATCATAACTAATAAGAGAAATAAGAAAAAAAACGTATTTGTTTTTGAGCAGATGTTTTTCCATTTAACCTGTTAAGAACAAATGACTATATCTTCACTTCTAAAAGGGTTACATTAATAATCTTTTTTCTCAAAGCAATGATAAACCTGTGAGTTGGATGTAGAAAAGTCAGAATCAATATCGATTTTTTATATTTGAAAGTAAATTCAGATTGAACATAGCAAAAACTGTAAATGATAGTGTCAATCCAAATCGTGAAAACCACCCTTGAATGATGGGTTAGTAGACTAAAAGCTTTTCAAAGTGACACAGACACATTGGATTAACCTTCAGCAGCGTGTTTATCGTTTTGATGCCATTGAACACAACTTTTGATCAGAAACAGAAAAAGGTCAGACCATTTGGCCGTGTTTCCTCCCTAAAGCTACGTTGTGTGATGTCTGTGTTCGCTTCCCCTGTCGCGAGTTTTGATCGCTCAGTGATGATACTTATATTTCTGTGGAATCTCAGCTTGCTAATCGATATCTTGTTTGTGCAGATCCGATAAGTAATAAGGGTATTTTATCGTGAGTTCTGTGTATTTAAAGTGTTAGAATCTTTTCGCTCAGGGCTCATTTAGACGCTTCTTGTGAGACTTGTGTTTTGTTTCGGTACAAATGGTTCGTATCGTCAGATAGCTGAGTTTCTTCCCGTTAGGTGGGTATGAAACATTAATAGGTTTTTCCCTGAGTCACAGTTTCGTGAAAAAAAGAAAAATCCCCATAGCCCCCGCCTAACAGGTTAACAACCCTGAACATTCAGAGAGCATATTGTGCTTAACCTCTACCTGGTTTAGGGGTGCAACAACTAATCGACTTAATCCATTCAAATCCATGACCAAATTAGTTGCCAACTAATTCAGTCGTCGATTCGTTGGTGACGTCATCACGTGTGTTTTACGCGCCGTTAAGCTCCAACGTTATCTGTCTTTGTTATATTTATATTTGTTAAGTAGTAAGTTGGTCTATTATATTCCAATTTATTCTGTATGCTATAGATCAGTGACCATCAACTGGTGGCCCGCGGGCCACATCCGGCCCGCCAGACATTCTCATCCGGCCCGCACGGCGGGGGCGACTGTGGCGTTGGCGGAGTGGTTAGTGCGTTCGCCCCCCCACTGAAAATCGCTGGCTCCCGAAAGACTCACCCAGGGTTGCAGGTGACTGTCAATTTGTCTCCAAACTGAATCCCCTCAGTAAAATCCACGTGTCCATTTGGCACGTCTCCAATAGCGCCACAGGACTTCCCTTAAAAAACAACAACAGAAAAACCCCTTAGGATTAAATTCATCCCTTAAACATTTCTGGATATCTGTGTTTCAGAGTGTAGGAATACTCTTCCAGTAAAAGTCCTGCATTCAGAATGTTACTCAAGTAAAAGTAGAAGTACTCAGATCTTGTTCTTGAGTTAAAGTAGAAGTACTCAGATCTAGTACTTGAGTAAAAGTAGAAGTACTCAGATCTTGTTCTTGAGTAAAAGTAGAAGTATTCAGGTCTTGTACTTGAGTAAAAGTAGAAGTACTCAGGTCTTGTTCTTGAGTAAAAGTAGAAGTACTCAGATCTTGTTCTTGAGTAAAAGTAGAAGTACTCAGATCTTGTACTTGAGTAAAAGTAGAAGTACTCAGATCTTGTTCTTGAGTAAAAGTAGAAGTACTCAGATCTTGTACTTGAGTAAAAGTAGAAGTACTCAGGTCTTGTTCTTGAGTAAAAGTAGAAGTACTCAGATCTTGTACTTGAGTAAAAGTAGAAGTACTCAGGTCTTGTTCTTGAGTAAAAGTAGAAGTACTCAGATCTTGTACTTGAGTAAAAGTAGAAGTACTCAGATCTTGTACTTGAGTAAAAGTAGAAGTACTCAGGTCTTGTTCTTGAGTAAAAGTAGAAGTACTCAGATCTTGTTCTTGAGTTAAAGTAGAAGTACTCAGATCTAGTACTTGAGTAAAAGTAGAAGTACTCAGATCTTGTTCTTGAGTAAAAGTAGAAGTATTCAGGTCTTGTACTTGAGTAAAAGTAGAAGTACTCAGATCTTGTACTTGAGTAAAGTAGAAGTACTCAGATCTTGTTCTTGAGTAAAAGTAGAAGTACTCAGATCTTGTACTTGAGTAAAAGTAGAAGTACTCAGGTCTTGTTCTTGAGTAAAAGTAGAAGTACTCAGATCTTGTTCTTGAGTAAAGTAGAAGTACTCAGATCTTGTACTTGAGTAAAAGTAGAAGTACTCAGATCTTGTTCTTGAGTAAAAGTAGAAGTACTCAGATCTTGTACTTGAGTAAAAGTAGAAGTACTCAGGTCTTGTTCTTGAGTAAAAGTAGAAGTACTCAGATCTTGTACTTGAGTAAAAGTAGAAGTACTCAGGTCTTGTTCTTGAGTAAAAGTAGAAGTACTCAGATCTTGTACTTGAGTAAAGTAGAAGTACTCAGATCTTGTACTTCAGTAAAAGTAGAAGTACTCAGATCTTGTTCTTGAGTAAAGTAGAAGTACTCAGATCTTGTTCTTGAGTAAAAGTAGAAGTACTCAGATCTTGTTCTTGAGTAAAAGTAGAAGTACTCAGATCTTGTACTTGAGTAAAAGTAGAAGTACTCAGGTCTTGTTCTTGAGTAAAAGTAGAAGTACTCAGATCTGTACTTGAGTAAAAGTAGAAGTACTCAGATCTTGTACTTCAGTAAAAGTAGAAGTACTCAGATCTTGTTCTTGAGTAAAAGTAGAAGTACTCAGATCTTGTACTTGAGTAAAAGTAGAAGTACTCAGATCTTGTACTTGAGTAAAAGTAGAAGTACTCAGATCTTGTACTTGAGTAAAAGTAGAAGTACTCAGATCTTGTACTTGAGTACAAGTAGAAGTACTCAGATATTGTACTTGAGTACAAGTAGAAGTACTCAGATCTGGTACTTGAGTAAAAGTAGAAGTACTCAGATCTTGTACTTGAGTACAAGTAGAAGTACTCAGATCTTGTACTTGAGTACAAGTAGAAGTACTCAGATCTTGTACTTGAGTAAAAGTAGAAGTACTCAGGTCTGTTCTTGAGTAAAAGTAGAAGTACTCAGATCTTGTTCTTGAGTAAAAGTAGAAGTACTCAGGTCTTGTTTCTTGAGTAAAGTAGAAGTACTCAGATCGTGTACTTGAGTAAAAGTAGAAGTACCAGAGTGTAGTGGAGTAGAAAGAACACAGTACCGCTACGTGTAATAAAATACTAATACTCACTTTCACATGTCATCCTCAAAGGGCTCCAGGCTCCAGCAGTACAGGTGATGGATGCAGATCCTCCAACAGACTCGTAGCCACATCACAAGCAAACGTAACTTTTATCCCGTCGGGGAAGTTTGTAAAAGTATGTCTTCCCCCTTTCAGATCCATGTTGTCTCCTCCCACAGGTCTGGCGCATTCTGAGCTGGGGAGGGAACGTCCAGAAGTTGATGTGTAATGTAGAATCAAAACAGGACTAATGTCATATCTGCAGCGAGATTATAACACTGACCTTGAGCTGAAAGGAAAAGGCCAACAGAGGTCAGGAGCAGGAGGAAGGAGGCCGCCATGATTTAGACCGTCTGGTGAAGAGAAACATTAAAACATTAAAACATGTGTTGGTTCAAATGTAAAGTAACTAATTAGATTACTTAGGTACAAGTTTGAGGTACTTTACCTGAGTGTTTCCATGTTATGTTACTGTGTACTTCTACTCCACTACAGTTCAGAGGTAACTGTGTACTTCTACTCCACTACAGTTCAGAGGTACATGGTGTACTTCTACTCCACTACAGTCAGAGGTACATGGTGTACTTCTACTCCACTACAGTTCAGAGGTAAACTGTGTACTTCTACTCCACTACAGTTCAGAGGTACATGGTGTACTTCTACTCCACTACAGTTCAGAGGTAAACTGTGTACTTCTACTCCACTACAGTTCAGAGGTAAACTGGTACTTCTACTCTACTAGGTAACTGTGTACTTCTACTCCACTACAGTTCAGAGGTACTTCTACTTTTACTCAAGTACAAGATCTGAGTACTTCTACTTTTACTCAAGTACAAGATCTGAGTACTTCTACTTTTACTCAAGAACACGATCTGAGTACTCTCTACTTTTACTCAAGAACAAGATCTGAGTACTTCTACTTTTACTCAAGAACAAGATCTGAGTACTTCTACTTTTACTCAAGAACAAGATCTGAGTACTTCTACTTTTACTCAAGTACAAGACCTGAGTACTTCTACTTTTACTCAAGACAAGATCTGGAGTACTTCTACTTTTACTCAAGAACAAGATCTGAGTACTACTAATAAGGTAGTATACAATTCAATACTCAAATACAAGTACCTCAAATGTGTACTTATGTACAGTACGATGACTAACACACACATAAAACATCGATAAACATTCAGTTTAAATTGGTTAAAATACCCAATATCACAGTTAACACTACAGAATAGGTCCCTGGGTATTCTTTGTAGGTAAATAAATATTCTTAGTGTCCTTCATAGTCTCGGAAAACACCAAACTCCACTCAAAATATATCAGATTTAACTCATTTGCGTGCCACTACTTATACAGCCATTAATACCGAGCAGTTCCACAACCCTATACAGCAACAGTTTATTATTCTAAATCCGGCACATGTTTAATAAAGAACCAAACAAAGACTCAAACACAAAAGTCACATCCCGTAACCCACGACATCACGCTTGTTTTATCGGATCAGACGTGTGGGCGTTACCGCTTCATTTGACCGACGAATTACAGGATTAAATGTTACTTAATTTATATTCTAAATCATCTGAACAGAGCAGGGGAGTCATCAGAGTGTACATCAGTTAGATTGTGTTTAAATAAGAGTTTCAATATGCTTATAATCCATACATTATTAAGCCATGGATCGATGATAAAGAGATACAGTGAATTCCTGCGAAGCTGCCTTAGCGGCGCAAAAGTACCCGGATGTGGCCCACTGAGCATGCGCAGTATAGTTTTTCTGTCACTCGAGGTGAATGGAGACAGAAAATAAATTCTCTTTTTTTTTATTGAATATATTTTTACATTTTCGAAATTCTCCCAAAATCTTTCTCTAAACATTCTCTTATTTTTCTAAATATTCCAACCTTTTAATTTTTTTAATATTCCAAGTTTTTTTTTACTATAGCTTTTATTGTTATGGCTTCTTAATTAATACTAAGCTATCTTTGGCTCCTTCATTACTGTAACACTTATCCTCTGTGGGACGAATATTAACTGGACTTTTAACATTTTGCATTAGTATTTCATCTAATATGTCATTCTTGCTCATTTAATGTAAAAACATCCAACTGTATATGGTCTTAAGTGTAATGTATCCTTTCAATAGGTGTTTTATGTGTCTACATATTTGTATATTCATGGTCACTCTTCGGTTTTATCTGCTATTTTGTATTGCTAACTACGTGCAATACTTTGTTTTACATGCTGCTGCAACAAAAACATGTCTCAATTTGGGATGAATTAAGTATATCTTATCTCATAAAGGTTTTCTGATATCTAGGTCAATGGAGAGGAGTCATTTTGAATTGGCCGCTGCGGTCATATTCATAAAAAATCTGCTTCCAACAACTGCTCCTTTTCCTGGGTGGTTATAAGCTAGGTAGCAACCGTTAGCTAACGTCACGTCACCACACAACACTAAATGATACACAGATTTAGTGACGTTTAGAGCGGTTCGTGGTTAAGTATTGGGTTGGTTACGGTAGTAGAGTGAGTCAAAGAGTGTATAAATGTGTTTTCTTACCGTCTGAAGAGGAGATTTGTGGTTCCGCTACTTCACTGCTGAGTCTCCTCACCCTGTGTGACTGTGCTCAGAAAGGGGCGGGGTTCAGCCTGTAACGAACTTCTTCCGAGTGTAAACACCAAGCCCTGACTGTCACTCAAATAGGGGGCGGGGCTTCAGCTGTGACGCATCATATTATTATTATTATGAATATTATTATTACTGCTATCTGTATGTATTTTGTATTTTTGTATTATTTTATAATTTTAATGTTTATTTTGTATTTATTTTATTGTTTTAGATAACTCTGAGTCAAATGTTTCCCAATCAAGATTCATCTTTGACTCTAGACACCCCTCCCCCACCCCCTTCATCCACTGTAACAATCATTTAAAACTTTTTTTTGGGGAGATTGTATTCTAATATTAGCCCATTATAGTCAGATAACGTAATGATCCACTATAGGGAGTATAATGAGTGAATTGAATCACATGTTTTACTTAAATATGTGGTGGTAATGTGTTTTGGGGCCATAAAATAAAATTACAACAGGATTGCACGGTTATGAATGCATTATAAGTTGGTTATGATGTAGTTAAAACAATATTGGATGATAGTCATTATTTTTGAGTGTTTTGGACTGAGATGAATCATGGGTCAAAATGTAGCCGTGAACACCATGTATGGGTACAGCTTTCGAACACAACACAAGGGTTAAGAAAATCCTAATTCATCCCAGACAGGACTTGACCTCTGCAGGAAATCACACGTGTTTAAGAAAGGTCACATGTTCACATCAATTCAAAGTGAAGAGAGGAAGCTTCGCCTCGTTCACAGAGGATGATGTAACGACCAAACCCTGCAGCTCAATGAGAGGAAGTGATGCATTTCCGCTGAGAAATAAACTAAATATTCCCATTGCACTTGTTTCAATCACGCCCATGAACCACACGGCCCATTTTCTCTTTTATCATATATATATAATATAATATGGGAGGGCTAAAACCCTCTTTAATGGTCACCATGCAGAGCACACAGCACACACAGTGAAATGTGTTCTCTGCATTTAACCCATCCTAGTACCAGGAGTACTAGTACCAGGCGTCTAGTACCAGGAGTCTAGTACCAGGCGTCTAGCACCAGGAGTCTAGCACAGGAGTCTAGCACCAGGAGTCTAGAACCAGGAGTCTAGTACAGGAGTCTAGCACCAGGAGTCTAGTACCAGGAGTCTAGAAACCAGGAGTCTAGTACCAGGAGTCTAGCACAGGAGTCTAGCACCAGGAGTCTAGTACAGGAGTCTAGCACCAGGAGTCTAGCACCAGGAGTCAAGAGCCAGTAGTATAGTGCCAGGAGTCTAGAACCAGGAGTCTAGAACCAGGAGTCTAGTACTAGGAGTCTAGAAGCAGGAGTCTAGAACCAGGAGTCTAGTACCAGGAGTCTAGCACCAGGAGTCTAGTACCAGGAGTCTAGCACCAGGAGTCTAGAACCAGGAGTCTAGTACCAGGAGTCTAGAACCAGGCGTCTAGTGCCAGGAGTCTAGCACCAGGAGTCTAGTACCAGGAGTCTAGAACCAGGAGTCTAGTACCAGGCGTCTAGCACCAGGAGTCTAGTACCAGGGTCTAGTACCAGGAGTCTAGTACCAGGAGTCTAGCACCAAGAGTCTAGCACCAGGAGTTAGTTACAGGCTAGCCCAGGAGTCTAGCACAGGAGTCTAGCACCATGAGTTAGCACCAGGAGTCTAGTACCAGGAGTCTAGCACCAGGAGTCTAGAACCAGGAGTCTAGTACCAGGAGTCTAGAACCAGGAGTCTAGTGCCAGGAGTCTAGCCCCAGGAGTCTAGTACCAGGAGTCTAGAACCAGGAGTCTAGTACCAGGAGTCTAGCACCAGGAGTCTAGTACCAGGAGTCTAGTACAGGAGTCTAGTACCAGGAGTCTAGTACCAGGAGTCTAGTACCAGGAGTCTAGCACCAGGAGTCTAGCACCAGGAGTCTTAGTACCAGGGAGTATACCAGGAGTAGCACCAGGAGTCTAGCACCAGGAGTCTAGTACTAGGAGTCTAGCCCAGGAGTCTAGCACCAGGAGTCTGCACCAGGAGTCTAGCACCAGGAGTCTAGCACCAGGAGTCTAGCACCAGGAGTCTAGTACTAGGAGTCTAGCACCAGGAGTCTAGAACCACCAGGCGTCTAGCACCAGGAGTCTAGCACCAGGAGTCTAGAACCAGGAGTCTAGTGCCAGGAGTCTAGAACCAGGAGTCTAGCACCAGGAGTCTAGAACCAGGAGTCTAGAACCACCAGGAGTCTAGCCACCAGGAGTCTAGCACCAGGAGTCTAGTACAGGAGTCTAGCACCAGGAGTCTAGCACCAGGAGTCTAGCACCAGGAGTCTAGCACCAGGAGTCTAGCACCAGGAGTCTGCTAGGAAGTCTAGCACCAGGAGTCTAGAGACCACCAGGAGTCTACCAGGAGTCTAGCCAGGAGTCTAGAACCAGGAGTCTATGCAGGAGTCTAGAACCAGGAGTCTAGCCAGAGCTAGAAACCAGGAGTCTAGAACCAGGAGTCTAGAACCAGGAGTCTAGCACCAGGAGTCTAGTACTAGGAGCAGTGGGCAGCTATTGTACAGCGCCCGGGGAGAAATGGGAGTGAGTGAGGGGCAAGGGAGGGTCTGGTGCCTTGCTCAAGGGCAACCACGGCAGGGCCCAGGAGGTGAACTGGGCCCTCTCCAAGTAGCAGTCCACAACTCCATACTTTAAGTCTGTTCGGGACTTGAACCGGCGACCCTATAGCTCCCAGTCCAAGCCCCAAGT